GCATCGACGACGAGGTGCAGGGCGACAGCGCCGTGCGCCGCGTTTCTGCCGGCGATGAAGCCCGTCTGTGCCGGTGCGATGCAGGAGGTGAGGTGGTCTTGGAGGGGGGCGCTCATCGCGTTGCTGACGAGGCGGACGTCGGCGTTCGCGACCGAGAGAGGGCAATAATTGGCAAGCTGCCCGAGGTCTCCCTTCTTGGGCAGGAGCACGCCTCGGAGCGTGTTGTCCATCACCGCTGGTGGCTTGTGTTCGGCCATCATCTCGTTTGCACAGGCCGCAAGCGCAGGCGCTAGCGGCGGGCAGAGCTTGTACACCTGGAAGGGCAGGCCGTCGAGCCCGGGCGCGGATGCGAGGCGGGCGCGTCGAGTGGCCATGTGGATCTCGTCGGCAGTGATCGGGGCGGCTAGCGCCGCGGCGGCGGCGGCGCCAATGCGCGGGAGGCCGGCAAGGAGGGCGTCAGCGGCGTCCTGCTCCTCATGGGCGTTGTGCAAATTGTTGGGCGTGTAGAGCGCGGAGTAGAAGGCGTGGATGAGCTCCAACTTTCTCGTGTTGCCAGCGACGCGAGCACCATTGTTGTCGAGGTCGGGCATCGGGGCGAAGGAGCGGCTGGAGGCAGCGGAGACAAGCCAGGAGGTCGGTCGCCACATGTCGAGCTCTAGGCGCGTCGAGTAGGCCATGCGTTGTGAGCGATGGAATGAGGAGGTCGCCTCGTCGAGGCGGCTCTGCAGTGTGGCCAGGCGCGTGCGATCCTGAGGCGTGTCGAGGGGCACCGCTGCGATGGCGTTTGCAAGGGACGCGCGGTCGCGTCGTCGACGTAGCTCGTGCTGCCCGATTGGGAGCGAAGTGTCCATGACCAGCCTGTGCAGACGCCACTTGAGGGCCACCCAGCGTGCAATGGCGCCTCGGGCTTCGTGGGCAGTGCCCTCGATTTCCGCGCTCCATGCTCGTAGGGCAGCGGCCATCGTGGGCGCAGATGCGGCGGTCGGGTGAAGGCGCCAGAAGCCCACCAGATGCGTTGCGCGGACCAGGTTCCCTTCATTGTCTTGTCCACCGCGCGTCGAGCGCACGGCGAGGAGCGCAGAGCAATGGTCGGACGTTGTCGGCTGGATTTGCGTGTAGACGAGGCCCGGCAAAGCTCTCTGGGACAGCCAGATGGCATCGATGCGGCGTCCGCCGGAGACGTACTTGTTGCCATTCTCGTCGGTGCGCATGTGGATGCGAGTCCATTCTCGGCGGCCCGGTGCCAGCTGCCTGTAGCCGTCGACGAGGCCCAGCTCGAGGAGCACCGGGCGGATGTAGCGGAATCCGGATGGGCCGTCTGCCCGTGTGGAGTCGAGGCGAGGGTACGGCACGGCGTTGAAGTTGGCGCCGATGACAATGCAGTGGTCGGGGTCAGCAACAAAGTGCGTTAGGTCGAGGAGACGGCCGGAGTCGCGGTCCCAATACGTGTTGTTCTCTCTCAAAGAGGGAGGACAGTGGATGGACACGAGGTGGAGAGTGCGCGCACCAGGAAAGACGGCTGCACCATCGGTGCGACAGCGGACGTAGACGAGGCGCTTGCGCACCTCTGCGTGCTCGACAATCCAGGATGGGCGGGCAAGAAAGATTCCGGCCGATTTTGCAAGGAAGGCGCGCCTGCCGCGGACTCCCACACCGTTGGAGTTAAGCAGTTGCGCGAAGCGAGTCTGGTCGTCGAACGTGATGGGCGGCTCTATCCTGCACTCTTGCAGGAAAAGGACGTCAGCGCAAGAGATGTCAGAGTTCGCCACACAATGATCGAGGTCCCGCGCATGGACGGGAAGACTCGCGCAGTTCCATGTGACAAAGGTCAGTGCGCCCGAGCAGAGTGGGCGGGCGAGGCGAGGACGTAGGCGGATGAGCAGACGAGAGCAGAGGAAACGCATGATTGCAAGTAGCGGAGGAGGGGGTGGAGCATGTCGGGAGATGAGGGCGCGGAGGCGAAGAGATGAGTGTCAAAAGCGGAACCAAGCAAGGTGCAGGACGGCCGAGAGGCATGAGGTGACGAAGGCTAAGAGTCGGAGAACCATTGAACACCACAGCTCAGTAAGGGAGCGGTGCGGCGCGCTCGGCAGCGGTGTCGGGGCACGCGTTCGAGAGATGGCCGGGCTGCTTGCAGCGGTAGCAGAGGCGCTTGGGGCAGTCCTCGAAGACGTGGCAGTGCGCCGCGGCGCTCTTGCAGCGCTGGCAGAAGTTTGGGCGTCCGACGTAGCGCAGCTCGTAGTCGGTCTCGGCAAAGGAGACGTAGCCGGGCAGATCCTTGAGGCGCTCCGAAGGGAACGCGTCGGGGTTTGTGGCGTTGCGCATGGGCCGGAGGATGACAAGGGCGAGGAGCGTGCCCACCTCCTGCTCGTAATCGATGGAGGGGATAGAGCGGTAGAGCGAGTAGATCTTGGCGACATTGGCGCAGTCGTGCAGTGCCAGGCTGAGGGCCGTGGCGGCTGGCCCACTCGCAAAGTTGGCCGGCATACCCACGACCTTGACGCAGAGCGCGCGAGAAGGCAGCGCAGCACCAGCGCCATAGAGCACGAGGTCCGCGCCGCGGAAGCGCAGGGCGTTGCTGCGCGTGGAGTAGTGCTGGACGGCGCGGTTGAAGAGTTCAAGCTGCGCGATGAATACTTCGACGAGGCGTAGGCGGCCACGGCCGCGCGGGATCGAGACGACTGGCGCAGCGTGCTTTGGCCAGCGAAGGACACGGTGCATCTGGACGAGGATGGATGCGGCGCAAGAGTGCTCGTCCTTTGCAGCCGAGAAAGGGCCGTTGAACTGGAAGACGAGCGTGCAAGGCGCAACAAAGTCTGCGCGCTGCTTGTCGGGGTCGGGCAGGTCGGCAAAAGCGACAGCGTCGATGGCAGCGTCCTTGGCGCCGGAAGCACGCCAAGCAAGCTTGCCGGTGATGACGTACTCGGTGAGGTCGTCGTCCGTGGCGTTGGTATCGCCAGTGTCGGGAGGGGCGTCGCCCGTGGCCATGGTGTCGTCGCTTGCCTCGGCCTGGGCGCGCGAGGGCGGAGCGCCACCGGTGTCGCTGGCGTTGGCAGGCTGAGCAGCTGCTGGCTCGCAGTACTCGTCCATCTCGTCATCCGCAGGAGCGGCATCGGGCTGGGAGGAGCAAACGGTGGAGCCCGAGGAGGGAGGAGGCGCGGCAGGCTCAGCGCGGGAGGAGCGAACGGTGGGACCCGAGGAGGGAGGAGGCACGGAAGGCTCAGCGCTGGGCGCATGGATCGACCTGTTTGCGGGCTTGGACTTGGGAGCGGTGCGTTTGGGTGCCATTGTGGTGGAGGTAGATGTTGGAGCCAGGGTTGTGGGCGAGGGCGATGCGGTGCCTTAAGCGCGCACGAGGCCCGGGCGTACGCCGGTGACCAAGGGCGCAGGACGCAGGGCGCAGGCAGAGTGCACAGCGAGGGGCGCCGCGCGGGCGCCGCACGGTAGAGCGTGGTGCCGCATCACGGCGGCGGCGGGGGGGAGGCTAGGCGTAGGGCGCGCGATGGGCGCGCAGTTATAGTGCTGGAGAGGGGGTGAGGCGCAAGGTGGATAGGGGGCATGCGGTGGAAGCGAGAGGAGAGGCAGGCGCGCTGCGCTCGAGCGCGGTGTGGCGATGGCGGCGGCACGCGCGCGCGGACACGTGGCACCGGGCCGCGCGAGGGCGCTCGGATCGCTATTATACAGAGCGGTCCGAGGATCGCACACTATACGCCCACTTTTCGAGCAAAAACCACCTCCCTCACAAGCTACGCTCGAGTTGGCACCAAATACAACCTCGCGCCGACATGGGCATAACTCTGAAGACGGCGTCAAAACAGGATCGACACGCTGGAGCAGGTGAGTGTGAGCACGACGCCGCAGCAACTGACACGCTTTGCGGGCCGCACGGGCCGTCGAGACGCGCCGCAGGCGCCGTCGAGACGCGAGGCTGCTCCGTGGTGCGAAGCAGAGGCCCTAAGACGGCACGACGTGGCGGCGCGAGCGAGCAGTCACGCGCAGGCACCGCGGCTTTGATGATGAACAAAACACACCACAGAGGCTAGAGTAGGGAAACCTTGACGCCTTCTAAACCATTATCTGAAGCGAAGCGCGGTGCCGGCGTGTGGGGCGAGCGGCGCGATGTGCGAGGCAAATGACATGACTGCGAGCCCCTACTCTTGCTGCGTGCCAGCTGCGGCGAGGGCGCGGCGTGAAAAGCGCAGGTGAGTGGCGTGCGGGCAGTCAGAGTATTGGTGCAGAGAGAGCGGCCGGCGCGAGAGGGCGTGGGGTTGACGCTGCGAGCTCAACCTCGTCTTCGCGCACCAATTGGCGCTTCTCAGCGGTGCGAGGGCGCTTCGAGACGCGGGAAGGACGCAGGCGTGCGCCCAGCTCAGGCGCACATTTTTCAGAGGCGCGGCGGAGAGTTCGGCTGGCCCACGGCGGCGCCACAGGCCGCGACCTGCGCGGCGAGGCGGGGTCGCGAGCGCGTCAAGGTGGACGAGCGCACGCGTTTGCGACAACATCTCGGCAACTGTTTGATGGATCTGCAAGCTTGTCGCACGTAGTGCTAGAGCTAGACGTCCTCCTCACAGAGTGTCAAGAGGTTCAAAGGGTGTGGAGCCCATTGTGGCTCGAGTTTCAAAAAAGTCCGGTTTCTGGGGGGGGTTTCCTTTT